TTCTACTGCATATAATCATACTGAACATTAATAATTACGACTTAATTTAATGTACAGTACTATAATTTCTGAACGTTTAGTTGACATATACTGCCTCATTGATGTAATCCAATAGTAGCGGGAGTCTGAATGAAACCAAGATTTTCTCGATTCGCACATTACCAGCAGTGAGTTTGTAAATCGTAAAACACGTAAATTGAAGGAAGAACTAAAGTTATGAAAAGGGCCGGGGGTGAGGGGGAAGGGGGGAACGAATATATAGGGGCATAAGTGTTTCACAAACATATTTCGTCATTAATCAGATATGAACTATTAGATAAATAAAAAATACTGGTTTCTGTTTGATTTATACATATTTGAAGTAAATAACTGATATAAGATTTTCCGTTTTCCTTCCGCGTTTTTGCAAAACCCTGCAATGCATGTATTGCCCCGTTTCGTTTTTTCTTAAATAAATGGAAATTAGTATAATTATTAATAGTAAAATGAAATGAAAACGAACACCCCCCTGGGCCATCCCACCCTACACACACCTACGCGCACCCACTTTAGAAAAATTACATTTTCTGAAGTATTGTCGCCTCTTTTCTTTCTTTTTTATCTTTTTGGTTGATTTCTGGAACTTGGAAAAACAATGCTACTTCATTACAACATTTTATTGTTCATAGTGCTCCTCTCTCCTCCTCCCTCCCTCTCCCCCCCCCTCTCTCTCTCTCTCTCTCTCGATTTTTTCATGATATAAAAGGTAACTTTTCTTCCGAATGAACACAGCGCACACGAACACTAGTAAAATGACTGACGCATGACAAATGACTGCCGTCATGAGAAAAGGGCCCTTATCTTTTGACGTCATAATGCTCAGAAAACGACGTCAAAGTCGCGGTGTTGTAAACACGGAAGTAATTTTTGTCGACTGCGTTTCGTGAACAAGAAATAAAATTGGATTTCCAGGTGAAATAAAAAAAATATTTGAAAATTGATGCTGAAATTTGTAATAAATAATATTATTACTATTTAGTACATGTATTTATTCATAATTCTGTTTATTAATAAGCATTTTTCTTGATATCGCATAATTAATCTAATCGCGACATTGAACACATTGTTGGGTACAGCGATTTATAGCGATGTCTATATACTATGCATGACTAAAAATACTGTGTATTTGTTTTCTGAGCAATTTGCAAATACTTAAATTTGACTCATATGAATTAGACTTATTATTAAAAGGTATTCTACATGCACGTAAATATTTTTTTTCAGAGAGAGAGAGATAGAGATAAATGCACATATACGCGTACTTTAAAAGTGCTTTATTTTAAAAATTCCTTCATTTTAAAATGGTTATTTAAATTTTAATCCATAGTTAATCATATTGATATGCACAATTAGACCAGAGAAGGGTGAAGCGTTGATGTGTGTGTGTGTGGGGGGGGGGGATCGGGAGATTATTGACAAACAAAAAAAATATAAATAAATAAATCGACGAATAAAAAAGACAACCGGTAAAAGTTCAAACAAAAAAAAAGAGAACATCTTGTTTTTGATATAGATACTTGTAACATGGGAGATTCGAACCTACATGTACTACAACAAATGAAAAGGGGGGATTGTATAAATGTTATGTAAATAATTCTCTACAAAATTAACAGCAAAAGAATATGCTTAGGAAAAAAAAATGGAGAAAAGGGTGCCACGAAAATTTTGCTACAAAATAATGAAAAAAAAAAATAATGAAATGATCAAATAATGCATAAAAAATAGTACTCTCTGATACACAATAACTTTTGTATCAATTTTCTTAAATTGTTCCGATGAAAGCTGGCTTGAAATTAAATTGCGCTTGGTTTAGGAATTTTATTAAAATACATCTAATGTGGGCTTTTCCATGAGAATTATACTCAACATTGAAGAAAATAACATTTATATCGAACGTGACATTATGCGTGAAAATATGCGTATGAAACAGAAGAACGATAGATTAGGCTGTATATAAAGAAATTACGAACTTCTGGTAAATGTTGATATAGCGACATCTTTTGAGAATAAATCACTGATAGAGGAAAAAAGTACTAGTAACAAGTGGTTAAATTATGAATGTCATATTATATTGTTATAAAAATGTTCTGATCATCAACGACATTAACACTAACTGTTAGACAACAATAAAAAAATCTACATTTTGAGAAAGATGGAAAATAAAAGAATGGTGATGTTTCGAGCGACAAAAAACAAAACAAAAACGGAGGCTCATGCAAAGTTTTGATGACCGTGAAATATGAAGGGAAGCATTTTTTATTACTGACTATTGAAATCATGTATGTAATAAATAAGTCACGTTTCGCGTTTAAATCTTGGACGTCGAGTCTCATCTCGATAACCCGGATATCTCGACATTTTCTGAAAGTTCCGTTGATGCCGGGATACTATTAGTTATCTAGGTCCAATCAAGGGTGTACGGGGATTTACCCCGGGTTTTATTCCATACACCATGAGGCCGAAGTTTATAACTGTACCTGACTTTAAGGGAAGGATTAAACAAACACACATACCTTTCTGCTTTTAATAAAAAATATATATTTCTCTTCCAGTCGAGTGGTGACAGGCAAAAAATACGAGTCATGTTCTTTAATCTCACCATTCCAAGAAAGTGGTATTCTTTGAAAAATGGATTGCCTATTTTACTTTTAGCTTCCACGTCACAAGCAGATACTAAGTCTCCTATGAAGAGATTCAACTTAGAGCGGCAGAGTTTCAAACATTCAAGGGAATATTGCTTAAACGCATCATACAAAAAATATAACGTGTATTGGACGTAATATTTAATTATTGCTTAAGACTTCTGAAAACCTTTGATGTCAAGTTAGCTGATGTCACGGATTAAGATGAATAGATGACCTTAATTGCGTAAAAATATATTTAACTCTTGAAAGATATTCAGTTTCACTTTCAAATAGATTTCGTCAAAATTGTAACGCAACTATATTTTATTTTGCTTAGAAAAATCCAGCTCCATTAAGTGTACATATATTAAAAAGAGTCAAGAGCAGTACAGCCCTCTCTTTGATCAAACTATACAATGTTATTTTTTACAGAACTTTCCGTAAATCTGAGTTGGAAACCAGACAATCGTTTACACATGCATTGTGAGTGATTAATATCTGACGAGATTTTATCAATTCCAAAAATCCAGGGAGGTTATTATTTCAGATCGAGAAGGAATTAAATTTTTCTAGAATTGAAATGTCGAGCATTGATAAGCTTAAAATATGACACGTGTCTGCCGGCTATCTTTGCATGTCCAGCAGGTGATACTGAGTAATTAGTATCTGGCAATATGATAGCGAATTGCCAAATCGTTTCGACATTGAATCATTTTTACAGAAACCAATTTTTATAAAGTTTTCTTTTTGAGATTACATTAGCGACCCTTATAAGAAATATTGAACGATTGTTGTGTCCAAGTGATACAGTAGTAGCGTCGAAACCACAGGTGCAAAGCACCCCCCCCCCCACCCCCCCCCCACCCCAAAAAAGTATAGAAGCATTTATAGCAGCTTTTTTATTAAGCATGATTTACTTTGAAATTTTTAAAGAAGTTGAGAAACAGTTTCAATTTTCACGTACGATTTAACCTTTCTTAAACGACAATCCTTTGACATCATTATGTGTCTCTCTTTTATGTTACTAATGTTACTAAGACAGGAGAAGAAATTGAATTGTATGATGAACAATGAAAATTTATTAAACATTTGTTTTATCAAAGTATTTTTAAAAAAGTTTAATTTAAAAAAATCGCTCGGATGTACAGAACATATTTATTATTTATGATTTTTTATGAACAGAAGATGCTTTAAAAAAAAAAAATTAAACATTATGGCGTCCATTAGAATTCTTTGGTGATACAGAAAATACATAAAGTGTTACATGTATTATTCCCCTCCTATAACAACGTGTGTGTGTCTGTGTGTCGAGGGGGGGGGGACTGAGTGAATGCCTGCTTATATTAAACCAAAAATATTTTTTTTATATATATCGGGATCGATGTGCTGATGTCCCGCGTTACGCGCGTTGCCCTTCCTTGGGTTGGATCTATCCTTTCTCTATTGGACATCTGTGAAGTTTTTTTTATGTTTTTAATTTACAAGTGTTTTATATATTGTATAAATTTGGCTAGAGTATTAAATATAAAAAGAATATATTGTGCTGAAATAGTGGAATTGTACAAATATTATTTTTTCAAATGAATATAAACCGTTCCTAGATCCTGTCATGGCCACCCCACCCCCCTCCTTTACGATATCACTGAATCTGTCTCTAAAATAGTATGAACTATAAAGGCAACTTTCCTTAAGAATAATTACTTACTAGAAGCTTGGAAGAAGAAATCAATTTTTTTTTCAAGTTTATTTGTGTCAAAACGATTAAAGTTATTTAAATAATTTTAAGAATGTTTGGAAACTGAATTTGACGCACGCGACCTCATTACATTTTCAGTGAGTAACGTCAACGTTATTTTGAGGCGATTTACTAAAATGCTCATAAAATATTGAAAAAGTGAGATATTTTTAAAAGTTATGTATTTTTGCATTCAGAAAGAGTCAGGCTATCAAAATATACCAAAAAGTCAATTTGTGAAATTTTGACCTTAAGGGCCCTTTTCTCATGACGGCAGTCAAATGTTTTCCTAATCCGTTTTAGGTATTTTGACTTATTGTCTTCCATTTGTCAGCTTTAATTATTTTGCAGACTCTGGAACTGAGTACAGAAAATTAGACACGAAGAATAATTACTTACAAAGTGATTAAAATACTGTACATATTACACATTTAACATAAATGTGTTCCGATTTTAAACTAAGTGTAATAACTGGCCCCGATACAGGAAAACTGCCGAGATACGGGAACAGCTCAGTTTGGGCAAGTTACGTTCTTTCCTAAGATGTCAGTATTTCTCTATATATAATAAGACTTGTTCTTTAAAATTGTTCTTGAACTTACTGCATGTTACACCAACATCCTCACTATGTCCGCAGTTGTGATATCCATACTGGCTGTGGCTACAGCTGTTAATATTTCCTTCATTTCCATTACAACTCACATCATCAAGAAGAATAAGCATACCCTCTCCTTGTCCATAAACATCAGCTCCATGATGAACTGCGTTTTGCCTGTAAAGGATGTTGAAGATGTGAAGATGGAGTTTGTTAATTTGTATGTAGTTTAGTAAGATTAGTGAAATGTATTAGTACATAAATGTTAAACTGAGTTTGTCAAATACTATACCATACATATTTACGCGATATTCACTACAGAATGATGTATGAACACTTATTCCGGGAAATGTCTTACTATCAATGCATAGTTATAGGTTATAGTTCTACCGTCTGTCCTTACACGCCACAACCAAGTTAGAAACTTGTCTTTTCTGAAAATCTTGGTAAATCTTTTTTTTATTTCAATCTATTGGCAGAGAAACAAAAGCTGCGAGTAAATATATTTTACCCGAACGGGATTAAATCCGAACAACCTGTTTACGAAATAAAAACACCAGCGACCTGATGATAATTACTTATTCGTTTTTATAGCTTATACATGTTACTGTATTATTGTGATGTCACAGATATTATCCGTGCAGCGCATTTTGTCGACAAGAAATTTTCTTAGTTTTTTTCCCAGTTATTAGACAGTCCAAAGAGCAAGTTTTATGTGCAAAATGTGTAAACCTGTCTAGTTATCAAATATTTAGTAAAGCCACACTAACTTTTATTATACTGATTTTACATATTATAATGAAACATACATTTGTAGATCGCACATAGCATTGGCATTTTGTAAAACATGGATAAGATATTATCTGCTATGCTACATGTATTTTATTACATATATTAACTTACATGTACTTACTAGTCAATTGATATATTCTACAATGGACATAAATCTGTGAGCATATTGTTAATTGTCATACATTATTTTCTGGAAATTTGGAATTTTGGCATTGTGTAAATCATGGAATATGAGCAACAAGTAGCAACTTTATTATTCTCTTAACTGTAAATTTTCACAAAATTGATATTCATGATTGTTAGTTGTTTGCATCTAATAAATACGGAATCCGGTTGGTGCCAGGTAGAAAAAATATTTTATCTGGCGGCCGCCAGATAGGTTTCTGGCGGCCGCCAGATAATTATTTGGCGGCCGCCAGAAAGTTATCTTGCGGCCGCCAGATAAAATATTTTTCTACCTGGCACCTACCGGCTTCCGTAAATAACCACTTTGTAAGATGATTTTTTTTTTTGTTATTGTACTCTCTTACCCTCTAAAGTATATCTACCAATGAGGAGAACAATAAACATCTTTGACGTTTGTGCACAGATCTCGATTTTATATCTAGATTTTGCCTTTACTGCGACTGACGTAAGTCGATAAAATTAGGTAGCAATTGTTCCTTCGCCAAGCACTCGGCACGTTGAAGTAAAAGTTGCGGGTCTTACGGACGAGACTTTAAAACCGAGGCCCCGTGTTAGGCGTTGGCACGATAAAGATCCTTCGCTGCTCACTTGCCCTAAGTGCCGAGTAGAGATCAAAATTTGAAACCCTTCACCAGTATATGGTAACGTCTCTAAATGAGTGAAAAATTCTCGAACGAGACGTAACCAACATATAATCAAATCAATCAATAAGTTAGCCTGAACTAAATCTGACGTATCTACTTGAAAATGTTAGTTCAAACTTAAGCTATATCGAATTTCTACAAAAATTGTGAATTAGAAATTAATGTGGTACATGTTGTAGATTCCTGTTTAGCGAATACTTAATATCGCTAGAAAACTCGAAGAGGTCATATGGCGAAGGCTTGTCGTCGCAAGTGGGTTGTTGATTTAGAGTTTTTGCCTGTAATTCAGTAATAATTCTTGCAAAATTAATCGATAATAAGTTCCTCGAGTATATTTAGGAATCTTCAATACTCATACCAAGGTTTTCCAAGTGAACGACAAACAACTTTAGCAGCATTATTGTTATTATCGAAAGTATCGTCACAGACTGTTCCCCATACACCATTCACAAGTATCTCTACGCGACCTGCAGTGGAATTCCCTCCACGCAGACGTATACCTATAAAAACAATTAGTACAGAAAATTGAATCAATTTACCTTGCTGTAACTTAGTCAAAAAAATTTATTTAATTTTTATGAGTACACCTGTATATAATCCACAGGGTATCTGAAGTGTAATCTTTTTTTCTTGAAAGAATGAAATAATATAATACACCTATGAATGTACATGTATAAGCAAATTCATTAATTTGAATTATAATCATTTCTTCTTAATTCAACTTACTCTGGTACTTTAACGCTGTGGTCAGATGATTATGGTAATATCCTTCCATTACAAAATGGCGGAAATAGTTCAACATTTTGCTGTCCAAAGAAGTTACATTGGACGACAAAGAAGATGACTTTGATTGGAGACCGTTTACTAAGGTTTGTAAAGAGTTCGATTTCGATTCGAGGGTTTGAATATGCGTTTGCATCGAAGATGATTTTGTTAACAGACTATGAACTGATGATTGCAAGGCAGAAATTTGGGATTGTAGGTGACCAACAGAAGCTTTCTCAGTGGCATTTACGGTTTCTACGTCGTAAATAAGAACACTGAGTGTTGTTTTCAGTTGAACAATTTCTTGGTGAAGGGTGCGGTTGTTCACTTGAGATTTTAATTCCTCATCATGAAGAGATAAAGTCAGATACCGTATTGATTGTGCCATATTTTCCAGTCTGTTTAAAATAGCTTGTACTCCTGATGCATTGTATTTCCGGTCAAAATCTTGCCTGATAGAACTTAAAGACATTTTGATTGTCATTAATTCACTAGTCAGAAAATTCGTTGCTGAAGATGTCGTCGTGTTTTCTGCGCTGAGTAACATTTTTAAATTCGTAATTTCATCTTCTTGGTTTTTAACTTTTGCAGTTTGTATCTTTGATTCTTCTTGCAGTCTCATCACCTCCTGAACCAGAAGGGAAACAGTGGCTTCCAATCCCATAGGCCCAATAGTTGTAACTGGCAATGGGTTTTTGTCGTCATGGAAAAGCAGGCCCTTGCTTTCTCCAGCAAAAATTGTCCAAATAAGTAACATAAAAGCACAAATGATAGCCATTTTTAGCAATCCTTTTTTTAAGTAAAAGTTATTATATATATATAGACACTTATCAGTCAATCTAGGCCAAGGCGGATGGTAGTGTGTACAGTGAAATCCTTGGATGACTATGAAAAAGGAGAAAAATATTTTGTCTTGAATGATAATCTGTTTAAATAAAATGTAGGATAAGAAGACACAGATCAAGCGCAGAGCATATTCGGATCACTTGGAAATCGTTTGTAACTTAAATATTCTCCCAATCCTAATGTACATAAAACTTAGATACTAGAAATTGCTGTACCAGGAAGAAAAAATAAGAGGATTAATCTTAGGATCAATAATGAGTTTTAAGTGCTGATTCTGGCAGATATCAATTCACAATTAAATAATGATTGATATCTAAGAGGTGAAAAATTTACAAAAATATATTTCTCTCTCGTTTTGAATAGTGAAATTTTGATACTTTATGAACACATTTTAAAAATAAAAAAAATTAGCCTTTATATTGCTTGTTCAAATCTGAAATTTATTTTATTTTAATTTTTTGCAATTTTATAAAGAATTTTTAAAATTTTAACCGGAATACGCAATATTTCACTAATTTTAATTCAAAATGCCAAAAACATTATTCCATCATGCTTTTTTTAGAATAATTCAGTGAGGTGTAATAAAGTTAACATGGTTATAATATTTCGTTGAGAATATGATACTTCACGCTATAAGGATTAGCAACAAGTTTGTATTTACCCCCCCCCCCCCTTTCATTATTCCATTAATCTGAAAAAGAAACCACAAAGAATACTTTTAATCGCTCAGTCAAACAGTTCTATGACAGTGCAAGTGAACATAATACATGTATTTTTTTTTAAACACTGGACCAAAAATAGATCGAGAACGTCCAAAGTGATAGAATGCTTATGTTTATTTTTGTTGTCCAACAAATCTGTGTCTCGTTCCGCTAAAACTTCAGCTGAGGTACTTTTGTGTAAACAATAAAGAATGATGGCAAGGTCTGTAAAACAAGTTTGTATCATTTCATCAATGAAACACATAACAAACAATAATTGTTATTTTTGTGGGGTCAATACGTTGATTTATCAACTCCAAAGTACGCTATTCACCGCCGCTCTTTGCGCTCAGCAAATATTATTATGTACTTGTCAGGTAGTCTAATCATGATGTTGACCTCAAAAACAGCAATTATTGTATAACATACAATGGTGTTAAACATATTGCGATAAAATCAGCTTATCTTAGATGTATAAAGAAAAATACAGCATATCTTCACAGAATGTCGACGCAAGGAATCTAGATGCGCATATCATGTAGCATTGTGCATCTTTACATACCACAAAAATGATATTTCAAAGCACGTTAATCTGTCTTGAACTGAAGCAATCAATTTTGAACAATACGAGTATTGTTTGAGAAACTGCATAACAATCTCATAGCTGTTACTAGGTTTTGGTAGGTAATTACAATTCTACGTATAATCAGTAACAAGTTGTAAGGATACTTACTATACTCCTGCTGGACACGTTATTATTAGTGACGTAAATATAGTTATCAATGAGGACCTTAGATCACTTATTTTAAAAGGGTCAAAATTTAGGTAACCCCGATCTTTCAACTGGAATCATAATTTCATAAATATTATGAATTCTGTGGAAGATTACGCCAGGCGATAGGTCAGACATGAAAAAGAAGACCTTGACACTTTGTCAGAATATATTAAATGTATCAGATGTATGTTAAAATCTCGCATTAAGCGATTGATTGATTGTGTGTTGTTTTATGTCCCGTTTGAGAATTTTTCACTCATATAGAGACGTCACCATATACCGGTGAAGGGCTTCAAAATTAGACCTTTACTCGACACTCAGAGCCATTGAGCAGTAAGGGATTTTTATCGTACCAACGCCTGTCGTGACACGGAGCCTCGGTTTTTAAGGTCTCATCCGAAAGAAAAGACCCGCAACTTTCACTCCAAAGTGCAGAGCGCATGGCGAAGGAAAAGTTGCTACCTATTTTTTATCGACTTAGGTCAGTCGCGGCCGTGATTCGAACACACGACCTTCCGATCACGGAGCGAGCGCTCTACTGACTGAGTTAAGCTATTGAGGGTCAATATGAAAACCATCTATCCTTCCGTGTTCAATAATTCAGAAGTGAAAACAGAATTAGATAGACTACACGATCAGCAACTACTGGTCCCAGCTGACAAAGCAGGTAACTACATTGAATCAATATATCATTGGCAAACACACTGAATACATGACGGCTTGGCCAAGATCAGGTGCCCATGTTGGTTGCAGATTAACAAAAAAATAATAAAGTCAAATGAAATGTATTACAAGTATGTTCTATGTAACACTATTCTTTTTGGCAGATTGAATTGTCTGAAATTTTTGTCCATTTCTGTCAAGGGGTTAAAAAGATTTCACTCTTACTATAGCAGAGACCCAAGTGGGCTAATGACTATACATATTCAGGAATAACATTTATCTTTATCATATTGAACTGAACAAAAAAGTATAATTCAAATACAAACTCTTCACAAAATATTGTCTGAGCAAAAAAAAAAAAAATCACATAACTCATTTCCATTAAAATGTTACAGTATATAAAGGATATGGGTAAATTTTTTAATCTTTGAGAGTTTTTCTTCTCTTAATATTTGGACACTTGAAATAAAAATACATTTAATTACTTTCAATTTTTCTAAAGATACTGTATAAGGGGATGAATATTTCAAACTTATTTGGTAATATTCAGATAAAAACTGTGTCAGATATTTTTTAATTGACTATTTTGAGACCTTGGGCTACGGACTATACATATAGTATTTTTCATTTAATGAGAAACCATAGAAAAATAGTTGGTTGTATCAGTAAATATTTGTTAAAATTATCATCTTGGAGTTCACATGTGTTTAATAAATCCTTTCATTTTGATATTAAATCAATTTATACAAATATCCTGTGAAATTCAACAAAATAGAAAACAAAATCTTCATATAAATTCACAATACGAGTAAAATATAAATTGTCAGAACAAAATAAGACATGTCAGAATTACATGTATTTAGTGTTTTGATAACAAAATATAGTTTAAGACCATCTAAAGACCAAGAATAAGCTTTTATGTAGCATCTAAGAAGGATGGATTTCATGTGAGCACTTGGGCTACGGACTATACTGTTTAACATCCCTATTGCGGAAAATCAACTTAAAGAAAATATATTTGTATAATTAAACTTTGGACAATTTTTTTAATCATTTGGTTTTCTATAACAGTTAACACCATTTAGTTTGAGTATTTATAATACCATATTTAAAAAAATCAATTGTCTAATGTACTGTGTACTTTCAATGCAAAATGAAATTCCAGTTCAACTGATTTAAGCATTATTGGTGTTCAAACTATAATGAATAAAAGCGACAGGAGCTGTAATTAAATTAAGGCATGCTTTTTTTCAGGGGGGGGGGGGGGGTGTTGTTATGCACTATGTTGTTTAATATTTTTTTTCGATTTTATTTTAATGTAATACATATTGTTCAAGATGGTCATTCAAAAGGTGTATCGGTATATAATTTATCAAGATCATATGGTGTAATTCATAAAAAAAATTACAAAACATAATTGACCATTTGAAGTAAAAAAAAACATAATATTTATCCATAAAGAATCAATGCTTTTTTTTAAATTAAAAATTCAGTGACAAGAAGATTGGGTGGTGGAATTATAAGAGTGAAAGTCTCACTTGTACTAAATTGCAAAGTAAGGAGCTGATCCTTATGTTTTGGGATCAAATCCCGCTATGGGATTTTAACATAATAGTACAATATTTATCCATAAAGAATCAATGCTTTTTTTTTTTAATTAAAAATTCAGTGACAAGTAGATTGGGTGGTGGAATTATAAGAGTGAAAGTCTCACTTGTACTAAATTGCAAAGTAAGGAGCTGATCCTTATGTTTTGGGATCAAATCCCGCTATGGGATCTTAAGACTAATTAATGAAAACTAATAAACCATTGAAGCTCCATTTTGCAGTAGATGCAGGCAGGAAAAAACCTCTAGCTAATACAGAATTATGGTTATATGATCTGTAAATTTGCTCAATTTATTTGTAGAGTCTATAGCCCTTTTCAAAGTAGGATTTGTGTGGCCAAATATTCTTTTAAAAAATTCCAATGCCAATTATTCTAAATGGAATAATAGTATGTATCACAAGAAGGAAAACTTTATCATGTATATTTAGAAATATGTTGTGACCACAAACATAACAGGACAGACTACAGAAGCAAGTCTTCAACTGAAAAATGTTAGAGTCATTTTATCTTTAATTACAGTGGTATTTGTATTTAAAAACATTGCATTTGTTCGAATAAACATGTTATTGTATTTTAGTTATTGTATCAATAATGTATATGACTTTTTCAGGAAGTTATTATATTAGGGCTACGGACACCAATCATTCTTCTATAACTTCTTTTGGTGTTAGCGCAAAAGGTATTCATTACCTTTTTTTTTTTTTACTTTACTGGTGACTGAAAATATTAAACAAGAGCATGATTCATTATACATTCTTTTGTTGAACACAAACTATAATGAAACATGGGGCTACGGACTATACAAAAATATTAAACCAGTATGGAAAAAAATTACAAAATGTGCACACATCTTACCATGTAACCACTATATTTTTCTAATACTACTTTTTTTCTAAAGTAAAATAAAAATTTTAAACACATTATATTTGCTCTTTTTTTGCTAGAAATTATGCATTTATTCCAACATAAATCTTAAATTATATAACAAAGGTATATCTGCACACATTTTTTCATAATTTACACAATTTTCATCCTTTTTCTTTTCTGTAAAAAATAAACTTAACCAGAATGATTTCTCTATAATAAAGTATATTTATTTTGGAATGTTTCATTCAAAATAATTTTAATTACCATTTTTTAAAATGTAAAAAATCAAGTGCAACAGCATAACGCTTAAAAAATTA